TTTGCATCAATGAATTGATATCATATTATACTAACTGGTACTAATGAAATCACCTAATAGCTTTATTTCTCAAGCTCACTCTTCTGTGTATTTTCTTGATTAGTCTCCCAACCTCAAGTTTTCCACGGTACTAAAGATTAACAAGAATTCCCTATCCCGCTTACTGTCTCCATTCTTGCCTCAATTAAATCTCACCATCGATAAAATTATCAAAAATTTCACGATTACCTCTCTTTGCATGCGGTAATAGTTTGGATGGACGAGGCACCGAATAAGAATGTGAACGGATGGTCGATGTAACCAAATGTTGAACGGGTCAAGGTTTCTTGTTAGTTTGATAAATGGGTAACGGGATTCATGGTCAAGGTTTCTTGTTAGTTTGATAAAGGGGTGAATTAAATACATGTCAAATATTGAACGGAGAGCGTTGTTACGGTTGGATAGTTTTGACGATTATCTAACTTTCCATTGGCACATTAATATTGGGCACCCTCGAAGTTCAAGCAATAGTTGTATAAGGATTAAAAAAAGGCAAAAAAACAAAACAATCATAGTCCAATTTGTATTGAGTGAACGGAATAATATTCACGTGATTGTCTTAATTCGTTGCCTTGAAAGAATATAGTTTGAAACTTTGAACTGGATGCTTTTGGTTTTATTTTATTTTATTTTTCCTTTGATCCAGACTGACTTGTTGGTGTTTAAAACCAAAGCAGTTCACATCTTGAGCAAACAAGCAAAAACAAACACTTCTTTGCTCATTTGGTAAAAGTTGCTCCTATGATGATGGAGAGTGCAAGTGACTCAAGAAATGAGTACGATGTGCTCTTGAGCATTAGAGGGTCTAACACTCCCCAAACATTCGCCGATTGCCATTATGAAGCCATGAAAGGCACTGGAGTCCGCGTTTTCAGAGACGAAAATGAAATCCAAGGAGGGCAAAACATCAAAGACAAACTTTGGCAAGTAATCAAGAGCTTCAAGATCTACATGAAAAAAAAAACAGTCTTTTTCTTAAAATCTAACATAACTAATTTTTGGTTAAAAAACTAGGATTAGTCGTTTTGCTCTTGTGTTTCATGATCTAGTAACATCAACGCCACATAGAGAGAGAAAATAACAAAAAAATACGTTAGCATTTTCCTTTAGCGAAGTTGGACAGAGTGAATATAAGAACTTGATTGCACCAATTTAACAAGTTTAATGACTTGATTGCACTTTTTGAAAGTTTTAGGACTCAATCTCATTTTCATGATAAATTTTATGATTTCTAATGCACTTATGCCGAATATTATTTATCCTAAGGCATCATAAGTTTCATAACAATGCTTATTTAGAACTGTTCTTTTATCTCTCATTGTTTTCGCTATGTGCGTTCGCTTGAAGCAGTTTCATTTGATTTAAGTTTATACTCAAGCCAGCCATTAACCAGATTAGGTGCAAGTCAACAATTACAAGCTTGAATTTGTCTACAACTATGTTTACCTCTCAAATTAATAATTAAGATGTTAACAACAAGGTTTACCCTATGTTCTTATTATTTCGTGCTCAGATGATTTGAGCCAACCTGTGTGGACGCATCTCTGCTGTTGTTTATGTAACTGTAAGGTTCCATGAATATGAACATTTTTTTCTGGGAAAAACCAAAGAAAATAGATGCAAACAAATAGTTTCGTTCACGTGCATTGACAAAGGCTCCTCTTTGTCGGGCTCAATGGAAATTAATGATAATTATTACATGTTAAAAAGAATACTTCCTGGGTAACACTGTGTATACTAATATATTAGGTCGACTTGCCCTTATAGATCCAAATGCATTGCCCCGTCCAAGTGCATCAAATGGCGTTCCACCCATACAGTGAAGAGCGTGACCTCAAATGCTATGATTCAAACACCAAGTTCACGGCATTGTGACCATGCTCTTGACAAGGGGGAAAGAAAGGTCTTAGGCTGCTTTGGGAAGTATTAAAAATCCTAGGCTAGCAATTCGGATTTGCATTTTATATTCGGGTCTTGTAATTGTAGCAAGTAACGTAGGTGAAGAACATTATTTTGTCAATTATATACAAAGATTATGTATGTTAAGTCGTTTTACCTTTAAATTTGTCATACAATTATTTCACAGCTTGTGTTTTCGTGCTAGAAATTATCAGCCCAGTATGTTTATCATGACTCGTTTGACAAATAACCCATCAACACAAGTCGAGCGTGTAATTTATATTTAATAAACTCAGAATGGTGATAGTGGGTCCACGGGCAAGCTTTTCCACTTTGATGAACCAACCAATCTCATGCAAAAAGAAAAAAAAAGGACATATACGTCAGGGTAAATTGATATTTGTCATCATCCATGACGCCAAATCCAATAGATATATCCCACGTCTATTTTGTCAAAGACGAAGACGTCATGAAAGGTGCCGGGAATAAGCATGTGGATAGGCCCTAATAAACAATCATTTACGGACAAATGACCACGTTAGTTAGGCAGTGTCGTCATTATTATTTTGTTCGCACCTCAATTTCATCTTGGAATTATTCCAAACGAACCCGTTTTTGTTTTCTTTTCTCTCGTTAATTTACTTCGAAAGGTCAATGTTTCCCATCTTCTAGATATCAATTTGAATGAGCCCAAAATCGCCCTCCCTCTTCCATCCAACTTGATGTCATTATTAGACCAATGCTTACTTTAGAAAATTGATGCTAACAAGTGCTTTTCCAGATACTTATTAAACATATTTGATACGAAGTATTTTCGATTTTTAGAACCTTTATTTTTCATGGTACACAAAAAATGTTTGGCGCTTTGAAAATTTGAAGAATTCTCTTATGTGATTACTTAACAAATGCTCGATAGAACTCATTAAAAAAATCCATTCGAGTTGGGGGTGTGGTTCATACTCCCCATCGTAGGGGCCAACGCCCTTGAGCAACTAAGAAATTTTTTAGTTTAGGCCCGTTATTTATTGGTAGTTTAGGTTTGGGTTCATGAATAGTAACGGAGTAACTTAAGACTTTCTCGGCCCCTAGGGTTTTCTTGTGCCGCATATATATAATTTATTTCTCTTGTAATTAAGAGTTGTTACAAAATGTGAGAGGTGTTAATTATAATAGAATCATTTGCTTAATGTATCCCTAATTTAAGGATGAATCACGATAAACCTTGTATCTTGATTTCTCTTTCTCGCATTTACTTTCTATTTCGTTGTATTTGTGCGCCTAATCCTAATCACCATGTGCGTTTGTTCATAAATGTGTAAATGAGATATGAATTATCTAAGTTGTTGATGTCATTATCGTAGGTTATCGAGTATTTTCTGAGTTCTATAGAAGTGTTTTATCTTCTACTCATGTGGAAACACATTGAATTAATATGACGCGGAGTTTCCTATGTACAATCCCGTTTTCCTTGGCTTTTGTACACTGAAATAGTTAGTACAATCATAACTCATGAGCTAGGAAATAGCCCGACAAAACCAACCTAATCTGGTATCACCTATTTATGTTCATAAACATATCTAGTTGATGGTGCATTGCTCATACTGGTTGCATTAAATGCGATATGTCTATTTACCAAATATTAAATGCTTATCTACGGATGCTAATCGTTCTATTTTTTTATTTTTTATTTTGTCTGTCATACTCCAACTCTCAACTTACTCTCAGACTTTTGTCATGTCTCTTTACAGAACGTGAGAGTCGAAATCCACATCTGAAACTGAACATCTCCACCTCTAACCCTCTGACGCGGAGTTTCCTATGTACAATCCCGTTTTCCTTGGCTTTTGTACACTGAAATAGTTAGTACAATCATAACTCATGAGCTAGGAAATAGCCCGACAAAACCAACCTAATCTGGTACCACCTATTTATGTTCATAAACATATCTAGTTGATGGTGCATTGCTCATACTGGTTGCATTAAATGCGATATGTCTATTTACCAAATATTAAATGCTTATCTACGGATGCTAATCGTTCTATTTTTTTATTTTTTATTTTGTCTGTCATACTCCAACTCTCAACTCACTCTCAGACTTTTGTCATGTCTCTTTACAGAACGTGAGAGTCGAAATCCACATCTGAAACTGAACATCTCCACCTCTAACCCTCTGAAAAGGTGAGGAATCGAACTCCCCATCTCCCCCTTTCCAAGTAAAAATGGTGGCCACTAAGTAAACCCCAAGTAGGAAGGCTGATCGTTCATAAAAATAAAAATAAAAAGTAGTCGGTTAATATTTCACTTGGTTCAGCTAGTTTTTTAGCTACAGATCTGCTAATTAGCTAGAGTAATTTGATTAAACATCTAGTCAAAGAGGTACCTTCAATTTGATTGAATTTTTTATGCCTATTTTGATATAATATTTATGTAGATATTCGCTATTTCCCACATATAACGACACTGAAGAAGACAAAGAATTGTTTTCCTAATTTTCCCCCCTCTCACATGCAAGTGTCACGGGCACAAGCATTTGAGTCAATAAAAAAAGAACCGTGCCACATTTTCAAGTCAAATATAAAAATTAAATAAGACTAAGGGATATAAATTACAAACTTTATTCAGTTGCCCTATCTGAAATCGGGACTCCTCATCTACCCACGTACCGCACATGACCGAATGTTAAATGGTCATGATGCCATTCAATTTTGACAATTAAATAGCAATCTGGCCATTCAATTTATTCAAGATGTGGCATTTAATTTCTTTATTGAGCCGGCAATTAGGGAAAATGGCAATTCAAGTTGATTAAGTTAACTTGGGATTAATATTCTGTTGACTCTAAAAACAAAAAGCAATTGAATTACCACTAAACTAATGGAAGAAAACCGAGCAAGAAAAGGGGATTGATCTTGAAATTAGAAAGTCTACAGGACCCTAAAGACAATCACAACCCTTTATTTAAACATAACAAATGTTCGAGATCCATGATAATCTATTGTACTGTATAGGTCATGGAGGTTGGTCGACGGTTTGCTTGTTTCTTGGAGGGGGGGCAACACGGTTCCATGTCTCAATCGCTCTATCTTACCATTAACATCATGAAATTACCAACAACTCAGTAGTATAACTTCATATGTTCGCTGGCTTCAGACCCTCAAAACGCTCGGCAGCGAAAACTTGGATGCTCACTTCCTAAAGAATGGCTCCTACAATGGAGAGAGACGGTGGCTCCAGGATTGAGTATGAGGTGTTTTTGAGCTTCAGAGGGTCCGATAGTCGCACAACATTCACCGATTGTCTCTACGAAGGCATGAAAGGTGCAGGGATCCGCGTCTTTAGGGACGACGATGAGCTCCAAGTCGGGCAAAAGATCAAGGAACAGCTCCCACGGGCCATCCAGAACTCAAGGATCTACATGCCCATCTTGACAAGGAACTTCGCGTCAAGCAAATGGTGCCTAAATGAACTCGCCGAGATGGTCGAGATGGCGTCAAAGTCAAAAGGCACAAAAGAGATCCTCCCCATTTACCTTGACGTGAATTCGGACGACGTCAAGCTCAAGACTCCATTGTTCCGCGACGCGTTCGCACGGCACGAGAAGAACTTCGCAGCCGACCAAGTGAAGTCTTGGTGTGACGCCCTCATGGCGGTCGAGGAAATCAAGCGATGGAGCTTGAAAAATTATCACGGGTAAGGAATTTTTGTAGAAAACTTTGAGTTCTCTTCATATGCATCATATTTGAGAAAACAGGTCAGAATTGAGTTTTCCTTTTTTAAGATTTATTTTCATCATAAGCTCTTCAATTTCGTGTAACGAGTAAAATAAACTGAATCGCGCATTGGTGCAGCTATGGCGAACTCATTAAAGTGATCATCCAGAAGGTCCTGATTAAGCTGAATGCCAAATACAAGAACCTTACCAAACACTTGGTCGAAGATCATGTTCAGGTCAATGCAATTATGAAGCTGTTAGACATCAACTCTAGCAGCGTGCGCTTCGTGGGAATCCATGGGATAGGTGGAATTGGTAAGACAACGCTGGCGAAAGTCATTTACAACAAATTATCTTCTCGCTTCGACCACTGCAGCTTCCTCGAAAATGTTCGAGAGATCTCCAGAAGATCAGATGGTCTTGTGCACTTGCAGAAGCAATTGTTGTCAAGCATCCGGAGGTTCAGCAGCGATACTTTTATCCGCGACATTGACCAAGGGATCGACATGATAAAGAAGGCACTTTGCGACAAGAAAATGCTCATTGTGCTCGATGATGTGGACGAGAAAGAGCAGCTCGAAAAGCTAGTTGGGAAGAGCGCTTGGTTCGAAGATGGAAGCAGGGTCATTATAACAACTAGGAACACAAGCATCCTGACCGACCAGATGGAAACATTAAAGGTCGGCCCTGCCCCGAATCGACATGAAGGAATCTTGACATATCAAGTCGAGGAAATGGGATTTAGTCAAGCACTTCAGCTATTCTGTCGACATTCCTTTAGAAGAGACTCTCCTACAGAAGATTACGATAGCCTATCGAGACAGATTGTCTCAACTTTAGGGAAGCTTCCTTTGGCTATCGAAGTGATAGGGTCATCTCTTTCATGCGGTACCACTGACAAGGCCTTATGGGAAGAGACACTGAAGAAGTTACAGAAAGTTCCTCCGAAGAAAGTCCAAGAGACGTTGATGATAAGTTATGAGGGTCTGGAATTGACGCAGCAGAAAGTGTTCCTGGACATTGCTTGCTTTTTTATCAAAGAAGCCAAGAAATATCCTATTTTCATGTGGAGCGATTGTGAATACTATCCTCATGACGCAATCAGAGTCCTCCTTCTCAGGTCTTTGATAACGATTGGAGATGACTATAGATTTTCGATGCATGACCAAGTTAGGGATCTCGGAAGGCACATTGTCCACGAAGAGAATTGCAGATTTCCTGGGAAGCGTAGCAGGGTATGGATTCCGGAGGACGCATTGAATTTATTGAGGAATAAGCAGGTAAAACTTAAAGAGTATGTACTTTAGAGTCCATTTTGCTAGTTGTTTCCAGGAAGTAGACAAACTTTACAAGTGGCTTACGGAGTTGACTTTTTCTTTTATCACACGATTTGTTGTCATTCATGCTTGGTCTCTAACGGCAGGCAAGTGAAGAAGTAGAAGCACTGAGACTGAGTTTTAATGGTCAAAGTAATGGCAGTGGCTGTACCATCACAGATGAAGAATCACAGAGTCTGCGGAGTCTCAGGCTCCTTCGAGGGAAAGGGTTGAATTTCGTCGGGAACTTCAAAAATCTTTTTTCTGAGCTAAGGTGGCTTTCTTGGCATGAGTGTCCTCCGGATTTCACGGCAACGAATTTTCACCTCACTAATTTGGTGGTGCTCGACCTTTCCAAGAGTGAAATTACTGAAGACTGGACTGGATGGAGTCAAATCAAGGTACTAATGTCTCTCCATATTGACTTTTGGTGTGTCTAATTCTTATGACACAAAGTTTTCAATTCTTTTATATGACGTTCGATTTCTCTGCAGATGGCACAAAAGTTGAAAGTTTTAGATCTGAGAAGCTGCAATTGCTTGAGAAGCACGCCTGACTTGTCTAACTTTGCGTCTCTGGAGATATTGGTTCTTGCTTGGTGTTCCAAGTTAGTCACAATCGATCGCTCCATTAGTAAGCTACAGAACTTGAAAACTCTGAATATGGAAGGATGCAAATCTCTTCAGGAGTTGCCTGAAGAAGTTGGTTCTCTAAATTCTTTGACGGAGTTAATCATGCCCAAAGATTGCAAGCTTCCCGAGACAATTGGCAATTTGAAATCTTTGTGTAGTTTGAGTATGAAACAGAATGAGAGAATAAGCAGACTCCCATACTCTATCGGAGGGCTAGCGAAAGTCACGCATTTGTCGATAGAAGGTTGCAAAGGAATTAAGGAGCTTCCACACACGCTCGGGGAATTAGAATCGCTGGTCAAATTAGATCTGTCATTCTCAGGAGTAGTCAATGTACCTGATTCAATTGGAAATCTGAAGAAACTCAAAGACATCAGGATGGGAAACACAAAGATAAGAAAGTTACCTGACACAATCGGGCTATTGGAGATGCTTGAAGAGTTACATTGCCCGGAGTGTCAGGGCCTATCCGGCGAAATCCCATGTTCTATTGGGAGATTGTCCCATTTAAGGATCTTGGACTTATCAGGCACTTGCATCTCTGGATTGCCTGCCACAATCAGTTGTCTCCCTCATCTCAAAGAACTTGAGTTGAAGGAGTGCCACGAGCTTCAACGATTGCCAGAGCTTCCTTCGAGCTTGACAAGCCTTGCCCTTGATGCTTATCACCGTCAAATTATTCCCGACCTCTCAAACCTAATTACTTTAGAAAACTTAGACTTGTCGTTCCACAGAGATTTTCTTGGGGGCACTAGCAAGGGGAAGGAACCTCTCTCACCTTGGAAAAACATAAAATCCATCCACCAGCTTCCATCTAGCTTGTCAACCTTGAAACTTACCGATGTCACGCCACTGCCACAGTTTTCCAGCTTCAGGAAACTATCAGAACTCTCCGTTTCTAGCTGCTCGATGGAGCAATTTCCAGCTCTTGACCACCTGGAAAATTTAAGGGAATTATCCGTAGAAAATTGTGAATCCCTCCTGAGAACACCCGATCTATCACACTTAAAGAATCTGGAAACCCTGCGTCTAACTGACTTGCAAGGACTTGTAGAAGTACAAGGTCTGGGGGAATTGGAATCTCTGGAGTCCCTAAAGATTACATGTTGTGGGTCAATAGAGATATTAGCCAACCTATCGAAGCTGGAAAAGCTGCAGCATTTCGATCTGGAATGTTGTCCCGGGCTAAGAGCCGTTGAAGGCCTCAGTGGCTTACGATGTTTGAGATACGTGACTATTAAAGATTGTCAGTCCCTGGAAAGTTTGCCAGATCTGCCGAGATGGACAAAGCTAGACTCAGATTGGGAATCATCAGAAACGTCAGACCCTTGTGTTTACATCAGCGGCTAGACCGATCAGTGTCTTGTGAGCCACTCACGTTGGAGATAAGGACAAGTAGTCTGAATATTAACCAACACAGGTCCTGCTAAGAACTATGCCAAAAGTCCGGCCTCGGTGAATAGTACTTCATCTTCGAAAATGCAATTTCCCTTGGACACTCCTCACAAGACACTACAAAGGTGCTCATTCAAAGGGGAGGACACAGATTCAGAGAAGATATACGTAGAGGCATCAAGAGCTCTCAACATATCAAGCGTCCAAGCCCCATAATCTTCTTCAACATACATCGTAGTCTTGTAGATCGCTTTTCAAATCCCCGTCACCTTTGTCATCGTTCATCAGAATTCTATTGGATCAAGTTTCAAAACCCCAGAGATTCAAGAAGTCAAGTTTTCCATCGTACAATTCGAGATCAACTGCTTAGGCACTCGAGTTAACGTCTCCATTTAGTCAAGAATGAGAGATACACTTGCAATCAAGTTGTCGAACTAGAGATTGTATCCACATCGTTTGTTATTATTAAATTTTGGCACTAGTTTTCTTGTCTGAAATTTAGACTAGAATTTCATTTGTGTACAATCATAATGGCTAAATGTCCTGTCTTTTTCTTTACTCTGCAGTTTATCTAAGCGTAGTTCCATATGGCAGAATGGTTGTGTAACTTGTGTTCATTTTTTCAGTTAATGTGCATTTACATTGTTTCTGACTTCTAAGTTTTCTCCCTCCTTTTTAAAACTTCTTATGCAGTCAGGAGTTATCGAAAGTCACTCCTGATAATCTGTAAGTCATACTTTCCGCATAACGATTCCTCTTCTATACCTTAGGAAAAGCTGCAATCTTTTGCATGATTTGCTAAGCTGATAAAGCTACAATCTTAGGGACTTTTTGCGGTCGTAATTCTGGATAAGTCTGTAATTGAACTTATGGAGAATTATATGAGGTTTCAATTTGAAATAACAGAAAGCATAAGTTTTTAGCAAAGCTGGAAGACAGATTCATAAAACGTAAAGCTATTAACTTTGACCACCATCAGTGTACACGCCAATAATGAACGAGAAGGCTTGTGATCCAGATTGGAGTAAACAAATGTCACAGGAGTGCCAATGAATGCTGTTTGGCCTATACTGACAAAACTAAATTGCCAGTCACTCAAAGAATTACCGAGCTTCTCGTATCTGGTTTTGTCACTATGAATTTGCCACGATCACGATCGTGAATGCTAAACTGCAAATCTGTTTGCACCAATTTAAATTGGAACTTTCATTTAATGAATGAACTTCATTTCTCAGCAATAACCTGATAAATATGCCATCCGACCAAAACTGCCATGGCGCAAGCTTGGAGAACTTGGTGAACGATGCTTGAAGACATCTCGTGTTGTTCATGCAACGTCGATTCTAGAGTGGTCTGAAGGACTAAATTTCTGCAGCAAGAACAGGGTTGAGTTCCTTGCGTCGATCAAAAGAACTCTGCGATCAAATGAAAGGTCAAACGACGTAGCGAGTGGACAACGGTTTTGAATTTCTATCTGTTCAACTTCCTCTTTTAATGCTTTTTTTTCCCAATATTTTAGTGAAGGGTTCAATAGAATATTATTCCACTTCCAGAGCTGATTTTGGTAGGTCCAAAGTCCAAACTCTGTAAAGCAACCTGGTGCAGTGCGCCCCCATATTTCTCAGAAGGCCACCTTCAACCTCTCCACGTTGACTCGAGCGCATATGATGTGCCAAAACAACTTTGATCTCGAGAGAATTCGCAGAACATAAATTACTTTGATCTGAATTCACAATTAGCTCATTTTACATTGCCCGGGAGCAAACTGATTGACAGAACCACCTGTTTCAGGAAAATGAAGAGGACTAGGAACTCAGGCGCCGCAGTGAGCCGTGAGAGCACCTTGAGAACAGAGTACGAGGTGTTCCCGAGTTTCAGAGGACCAGACACTCGCAATGGATTCACTAACTGCCTTTACCATGACATGCTAGGCACGGGAATTCGCATTTTCAGGGATGAAGAGGAGCTCCGCGTGGGCACAGAAATCAGCGGAGAGCTTATGCAGGCGCTCGACATCTCCTAAGTCTACATACCCAACTTCTCTAAGAGATACGCTTCCAGTTCGTGGTGTCTACGCGAGCTCACACAAATGGTGGAGCGCACCTCAAAATCAGATGGGAAAAAGCAGATACTTTCTGTTTTTTACTACGTCAAGCCAGTTGATGTCAAGCCCCGAACAGGATTATACAGAAATGCCATGACCAAGCATAAGAAGAAATTTGGCTATGATGAAGTGTCGCAGTGGGAAGATGCTCTAAAAGAAGTCTCCGAGATAAAGGGATGGGACCTCAAAGCTACAGGGTAACGATCCTAATCTTTTCAAGTGAATCTTGTTTCTGTCATTCCACTCAAGAATTTCATTTTGGGCGTCATAAGTACCATCCGATAAATTCAAGTGATGATGATGCCGTTAATCATGCCTAAATTCATCATAACTTTTCTTTTTCCAACGCCTTGCTCCAGCCATGGAGAACTAATCAGATCAATTGTTCAAGAGATTTTGATTAAGTTGAATGCCAAACACAAGAATGCGACTGAACACTTAGTTGAAGATCATGACCAGATAGAAGCCATAATGAAGCTGCTGGACAATGGTTCAAATGGCGTACGCTTTGTTGGGATCCACGGGATTGGTGGAATAGGCAAAACAACTCTAGCAAAAGTTATTTTTAACAAATTGTCTTTGAAGGCTGCTGTTTCCTTGAAGCTGTTCGAGAATCCTACCAACGCGATGGTCTTGTATATTTGCAGAAACAACTATTATCAAGTATTCTCTACTCTAGCTTTACTGACCAAACTAATAATGTTGACGATGGGATCAACATGATTAGAGAGAGACTGTGCAGCAAGAAAGTCCTCATTGTTTTTGATAATTTGGACAAGAAAAAGCAACTTGAAAAGCTTGCAGGGAAATGGAGTTGGTTTGGTCCTGGAAGTAGGGTGATTGTAACAACCAGAGACCTGAGCGTCCTGATGGCGGAGGTGGAAGCATCCAACGATGAAATCCTAAATGAAACTAAAAGAGTATTTGCTTATGAAGTGCATGAGATGGAATTTGATCGAGCACTTAAGTTGTTCTGTAAGCATGCCTTTAGGCGAGACTCTCCTTTAGAAGATTACGATGATCTCTCAATAAAAATTGTTTCTACTGTGGGGAAGCTTCCTCTGGCTCTCGAAGTGATAAGTTCATTTCTTTGTTGCAATCGCAAGGTTTTGTGGGAAGACACATTAAGGAAACTAAAGAAAGTTCCTCCCAAGGAAGTCCAGGAAACACTGATGATAAGTTACGACGGACTAGATTATGAGCAAAAATGAGTGTTCTCGGATACAGCGTGTTTCTTCATCAAGGAAGACAAAGAATACCCAGTTTTCATGTGGCATCATTGTGGATACTTTCCTCATGATGCCATTCGAGTCCTTTGTCTCAGGTCTCTAACAAAAATTGGAGACAAGAAAAAGTTTTGGATGCACGATCAAGTTCGAGACCTCGGAAGGCACATTATTCGTGTAGAGAATCTCAAAAATCCTGGCAAGCGAAGTAGGGTGTGCGATGATGAGGAAGCCTTGGACATACTAAAGAATAAGGAGGTAAACTATGGAGTCAATTCAATAGGAGAACATTCTTTTTACTCTTTTTCGTGGTTTCGTTTTTACAAAAGCAAAGAGAATCTCACTTTTGGTTTCTAGTGTTAAAAAGATAAAAACAGTTTTGGTTTTATCCTTACCCAAAAAAAAAAAGATTAAAACAGTTTTCGGCTGATGTTTTGCTAGGGAAAGAGCATATTTTATAGTTAGTCCCTGTTGCATACTCATAAGTCTTACTGGCAGATAAATCAAGATGTAGAAGCACTAAGCCTAAGCCTCAGTCAGTTTGGCTAAACTTTCACAGATGAAGAAATAGCAGGCCTACGTAATCTAAGGTTTCTTGGAGGGGAAGGAATAAATTTCGTGGGGAACTTCAAAAACCTTCTTTCTAAGCTAAGATGGCTTTCTTGGCGTTACTGTCCTCCCGGATTTCCAGCCACAAACTTTTACCTTAATAATTTGGTTGTGCTCGACCTGTTGTGGAGCGACATAACAGAGGACTGGAGAGGATGGAGAGAAATCAAGGTAGAGTTCACCCTGGCTGTTTACTTCTCTTCCTATTCACTGCCCTGTCGTTGCGCTAAAACGTTTCTCATCCTTTTTTGACATTCAAATCTTCTGCACATGGCAAATAAATTGAGAGTCCTGGATTTGTCATGGTGCAGATGCTTAACAAGGACACCTGACCTCTCCAAGTTTGTGTCCTTGGAGACATTAATTCTCGATAGCTGTTGCAATTTAACTGCAATCGACTGATCTGGAGGTAAGCTAAAACATCTGAGGACGCTTGAATCTAGAGGGATGTCGCACGCTTCAAGAGATGCCCGAGGAAATCGGTTCTCTAGAATCTTTGACGGAACTTACCTTGCCTCTAGATTCGGATCTGTCCAAGGTTCCCGAGACAGGTGGCAATCTAAAGTCTTTGTCAAGTCTTAAAGATAGAAAATGCAAGAATCAGAGAGCTTCCATGCTCTATTGGTGAACTGAAGCTTACGCATTTGTCTCTGAGCGGATGCTCTCTGATAAAGGAACTTCCATGCTCACTCGGGGAATTAGAAGCATTGGTGGAGTTGCATTTGTCATCATCAGGTATAGTAAATCTGCCTGATTCAATTGGGAATCTGAAAAAACTGAGAGTGATTAGAATCGACTATACAAAGATAAAAAGGTTACTGGACACCATTGGATTGGTCGAGATGCTCGAAGAGTTGTATGTAGGGGGTTGTCTGTTTCTGAGGGGTCAGATCCCCGATGAAGTCGGAAGGCTCTCCCATTTGAGGACCTTGCACTTGTCGTACACCCGTATTTGTGGATTGCCCATGACGATCAGCCATGTCGCTCGTCTCCAAACACTTGAATTGGAGGGTTGCCTCAAGCTCCAGCATTTGCCAGAGCTTCCCTCTAGTTTGATCCATCTCTCTTGTCATGCTTCTAGCTTTCTGTCTGTGCCAGACCCCTTGAAGCTAGTTAATTTAGATTACCTAGATTTGTACGGCCCATACAATCCTCCGAAGGAATTTCTCCAACCCGAGGATATCTCAAAGTCCATCAAGCAACTTCCATCTGATGAGACTAGCAAAAATCACCTAGAGAGGGATGAATAGGTGATTTGAGTGCTTTTTTATCAATATAAAGCAGAAACAATTGATCACGGGCAAAGTATGAACAATGTTTAGATTTTGAACAATCTTTGAACGGCAAATAAACAAATGTGCAATTAACTAACTAAAAGGAGTTTTAGGGATGAGAAAAATTGCACACAGATGTATAGTGATTCGCCTTAAATCAAGCCTATGTCTACTCTCTCACGTTGACAGCCTACTGGCCGGATTCCACTAAATGATCAATGAAGATATTACAAATTCTGAATGATGACTTCTCTGTGAAAGATAGGTCACTCTATCTCACTTTATCACTTTTACAATAGATCTCTCAATATTACTAATTTTTGCTCAAGAAGAACAAGTCACATTGGTTGGAGTTTGTTCAGACTTTAGAATGAATGATTCTTGATATCGTCTCTCTTCCTCTTCTCTTCGACGATTTGTCTCCTTTATACTCTTCCACTTCCAAACTAGCCATTGGACAGTCTTCAGAAGATCATTTTCCAATCTTCACCTTGGACAGATTTGTATAAAAATGATTGAGTAGTCGTTGAGTGACAAAATCAGAATCCCGCTAAATCTAGTTGCCCATACAACCAGAATTTTGGTATCCATAAGTAGAGCTTCTCTATTTAGAAAAGAACTTGTCGTGGGGTTTGATTATCAATCAATTTAGGATATCTTGCTATATAAATATTCCTTGCAAAATAGTCTTTTAAGATCGAATCAATCAATTCTTGCCATTTGTGAAATCCAAGCCAGATTACTAGCCGCTGTTTACGTTCTGAGTATCGATAACGTCCGGATAAAGTTTGAATCTTATCTTGTGCTCAGAACTTGAGTCATAATGGTTTGTTTTGAAAAATCTTGAATCTTCTTATTCCAATATATAAACTGAAGTTCCTCGACTGCCGTGTACAAAGTCTGAACTTTGTTTTTTGCGGTGCAGAACCTGAACTTCTTCTTCTTATTCATGTAAAGTCTGGACTTCCAGAATATAACTTTCTGGACATAGAATACTTCAAAAGCATATGTCAGACTTACTCATGGACAATTTTGTTGACATCAAAATCTATTAGAAAGTTAACTCAACACCATCTAGTTTATCAACATTGGGACTTCATGGTGTCGTGGCATTGCCGCATTTTTCCAACTTGAAGAACCTGTCTGTTCTCTATATGAGCGCATGTTTGATGCCACACTTCCCAGTGCTCGAAGACTTAGAAAAGTTGAGGGATTTAGGAATTGGCGAATGCGAGTTCCTCGTGAGAACCCCAGATCTGTCACTCCTGAAGAATCTGCAATGTTTAACCCTGTTTCGATTGAGTATACTGGTCGACATTCGAGGACTGGGGGAACTAGAATCCTTGACGCACCTGGTTATTTCCAGTTGCGATGCATTAGAGAGATTACCCAACTTATCGAAGTTGAGAAATCTACAGAGTCTGCATCTAGAAGATTGTCCAGAACTAGGACCAATCGAAGGCCCCGACAGCTTAGATTGTTTTGAAGGACTTGGTGATTAAACGTTGCGAATCTTTGCAAAGCCAAGATAGAGGTTAGATTGAAGTCCTGGATACGTGTTCCTAAGCTAGTAAGTTTGTTGTTATGGAGATGTTTTGTAATTCCAGTCTGCCTGCATCAACTATTACTAATTAAAGCTACCTTTAAAATGTACAAGCTAGCACAAGATTTGAAAGTTGCACTTGATTTGGATGCTTGTACGAGCTTTCTTTCTGAGGTTGATAACTTCGCTTCTATAATTTGATGTACAGATGCAAACTTGATCTCCACGATACAAACATGGCTAAGAGACTGTTGCGAAAAACAAGCGACCAAACAATAAAATAAACAGAATAAAGAAATAAAACAAACATCGGCTTTACGTGGTTCGGTCTATATGACATATTTATCAACCACACTCAACTTACTCAAATATTCTCAGCATTTCCCAACCCCAACCACATTCAATAACTTACACGGTAGTTTCACTAGAACTAGCAAAAAATCTCTCACTAATGGGCAAAAACCCATTAGGTGCGCTCCCATTCTTATAGCCAAAAGCTCCTCTGCTCATTAATGAGCAAAAGCCCAACTCCAACGTGGAAAGTATTTCAATAATTTTTACTTGTTCGGTCGTCAAAGCACAAATCCTATATGGATTTGAAAAATCTACTTGGATCGGATTTTCTACGAGCTCAAATTAGAGTCTTGTTTTAATGTTTTTACTCTTTTGCGCTGGTAGGGCGCGACCTACCCAATTTAGATAACATGACATATGGTTACGCCATCTCTAATCAAGTTTTGAATCAAACGTACAAAAATGAGTCCTTTACTGTTCGTTTAAGGAGTAATGTTGGCTGGGATTAGATCTAGGTTCTGGCCGTGTGGGACGACTGGCAATCTGACAAGTCCGACGGGGCTCAAATGACATCATTTTGAGAAATATTTTTAAGTTTTTATTTTTTTCTTTTCTTTTATTTTCTTTTATTTTTTCTTTTTTTCTTTTTTCCCTCATCTTCTTAAAGTCCTAGCTAGCAGAGTCATAGGGGCCTCAGCGATGGCCGACGACCTTCATTAGCCATCGACGAGACCTTGGCGACCGGCAAAGAAGAAGATGAACATTAGAATAAGAAAAAGAAAAGGAAAGGAAAGAAAAGAAAATTAAAAAAACCAAAAAAAATTGCAAAATGACATTGTTTTATTTAAGATTGTCCACGTCATCCGTGCCACGTAGGATAATCAGTGCTAATTGAACCGCCGCATTAGTGCTTAGATTGATAGGATTGACTACATTGAAAAATCGTCAAAAAGTATATGACTGCATGAGTTAAATTGAAAAGTTTAGGACTGAATTGACGTTTGTACGATAGGTTATGATTTTTTGGATAATTTTTCCTCGTTGTAAGAAGTCACCAACATACAGATATAATAAAGTTATTTCGATGTATGTAAAGTAACTTAATCGGTAATGAATAAAACTATTCCAAATACAACATAGAGAATATGTTCTCTCTCTCTCTAAGTTAAAAAACTATTTTGGAGCTAATCATTGCCCACATTTAACGTAACCTCTCCATGTGACCACACTTTCTCCCTCCTTAGATCCATTTTATTCCAACATCTAAAGGTGACTGATAATTGACAGAGAATTTTGACTTTTGCGGCATACTACTGTCCCTGAACAAAAGTCAAAAAGGTCACAAACGAAAAGGAAGCAAAGAGACTTCACATTTCGTGGTACACAACTCCATCAGCTTTCAACATGGTAGGATTCTTCAATATATTTACTACAGCATGCACGGCTTCTAATAAAATCTTTCTATTTGCACCGAAAGGAAGATTCCAAGGTATAGTAAAGTAATATATGTAAGGGACTGCTAAAGCTGCGCCAAGTACTTATGCTCATACACACTAGAAGACATGGAACCTATGAGAAGTAATAAAATGTAATGGCTATGGTGGTGGATCATCTTTTGTTGGTTAAATAATGGAGACAGTGGAAAAGAAAAGTGTGGAGGACAGAAAAAGGAGTGAAGTGAAAAGGCGAAGGGAAAACCAGGAAATGAGGCAATATGCTGGGAAAGTGGAGACAACAGGAGACAAACTGTCTAGGGCTTCAACCTTCACCCACGCTTCTCCTTCAATCTTACACCCCAGCTTCTTCCGAGGGACATGCCAACCTGTTTTTCCAGCAGGCTCAGCCCACTTATCTTTTGTTCCTGATTAAACTTTTTCTGCTTTTCTTTTGTTGTCTCGGAACAAAGTTTACTTTCTCTCTTTCGTTTCTTCTGATCTGTTTCGAATTTTCATTGTTCCCACATCATGCAAGCTTTGTTCCTCTATCTCAATTATATTGATGGTTTTAAGGATCATTGTCAATTTATCGTTCCACCTAAACGCTTAGTTAATGAAGAAGTATACTACTTTATTATGTTTCCCATCTCATTACTCTGCCGTATGAAAGGATTGATAGGATCATGGAGACCCAGCAATTTCACTTTTTCATTCTTCGATCGGTATGGTGTTTTAAAATTTAAATATTATACAAGGAAAAACAAAATTTAGATAATAGACCAGAGTTGTCTTCTTCGATAACATTAAGGTTTTTTCACATAGAATTAGATTTACCCCGGAGTTAGTTCATGCTTTCAAATTTTTGGATGCATATTTTAATCATGAGTTCAATTCCTACTGAAATGTGGACCTGTTCCACGCTTGTCCTCTCTTCACGAGATGTGATGAAGAAGCTTGCATTGTTAGATTCGTCTTTTGCAAATATATAGTTGTCCCATCTGAAAAGACTTTGAAATTTGTCCAAAACCCTAAGATGTCTCCTTCAGTGCTCAGATGGGGATTTTCGGACATTCTTTTCTCTTTCTTTCTTTTTCTGTAGAAGCAAAAGCCATCATCCACCTGCAACAAGCATTGTTAGGGTTAAGAGATGATGAAGTGTTTTGCCTTTTAATCTGAACAGGATACTCTCTTTTTCTTTTTTTTTGGGTCCAAAAGCTACCAAGTTCTTCATTTTCGTTATGCTTTCTGACTTAACAAAAACTCAAAGATAAAGTTGACCTCCAATTTGAGATTGTTGAGTTGTTAATGGAAAAGCTTGAGAATTGGAGTTGAAGTGACTAAGCTCCAACTGCACAAGAAAAGCAGTAATGCTAAAGCTCCATCAAATAATCATTTTAGCAGAAAATTGTATTAATTATGCATGTGGGTGTTCATTGTTAAACATAAGACGTGGAATTCTGGAATCAGATGATATGCGTTCTGCCTCCATTTGCTTTGTCATTTTCCTAAATGACATAACTAAAGAAGTTTTGGTCATGTCTCGACTTTTTGAATTATGAAAAAGAGAAAACCCATTTTTTATTCTAGAAAAATCATTATCTTTGTCAGAGAAAATTTGGTGTTTGAAGGTGAGTTGCAACCGGCAATTTTTGTTGTTTTGCCGCACTTTGCAGAGAGCTCTAGATCTTCATGTGGCCAGAAAC